TGACTCAACTTGTTTCCAACACACTCACACGATGCCTTCCTACAATTCGATCGCGCAACTGATGCTTTAAGCCGTTCTTTTAACTTGGGCAAAACTGGTCGTGAGCGCTATAAAATTGATCAAATGATAATTATTTTGTCATTTTGTTGTGTATAAATCCAATTTATTTGAGTTGAAGAGAGTATATTTGATACATTATTATCATATGTACAAATTGTAAGAAACCATTACAACGCAAGTGCAGCGTTGACAACCTTCTCTGCATTGATACGGCCGTGTCCGTGCTGATTGTTCGGATAGACATCATCCAGCGTTCCACCGCACGTCAAAACAGCTTTTGGCAAAGCTTGTTCAGTCGAACCAATCAATAATGTCTTGACAGCATCGAAGCTCAAGCCAGGACGTGCGCTTAAAATCAAAGCAATTGTACCAGCGAGGTGAGGTGCAGCCATGCTCGTTCCCGACATCAATTTATAATCAGAATCGTCGCGATTCCAAGCAGAAAGAATGTCAACACCAGGACTTGAAAAATCAGGTTTGATTAGTCCTTTCACAGAAGGTCCGAGGCTGCTAAAGACGCCCAAGACGTCGTTCATATCGGTGGCTCCAGATGCCAGAACATCGGGTGAATCACCTGGATATCCCACTGAACTACACCCACTTCGACCCAAGTTACCGGCTGAAAAAACTGGAATAATGCGAGCAGCGTGCCAAGCATCAAGACTTGGCTGGAAGTAGCCCATACCTTGACCTCTTCCCCAGCTATTGCTAACAATATGTGGACTTTTTGTTGGATCACAATTATTGCCATTCGTGTCTGTAGGGCATAACATGAATTCTGCACATGCAATTAAAAGGGAGAGCGTACACCCTGTTGCACCACATCCCTTGCAAGCCATCCACTTAGCACCAGGAGCAACACCCACACCTTTACCACCAGCAATCGTAGCGATTGTGTGAGTTCCATGACCATTGGCATCAAAAGGTGTTGCACTCTGTTGTTTTGGATCATACCATCCGTATGGACCAACCCAGTTGTTGACAAGAGTTTCGTGTGTACTTCGCACACCCGTATCAATATTTCCAACAATAATATTCTGTCCTGTATTGTTTAAAGCCCACACATTCGGCGCGTTGATTTTCTTGACACCCCATCCCATAGGAATCGTAGTATTCGTCGCATCAATTTCAGACTCAATCGAGTCGTGATCTATGATTATGTCATAAATGATTTCTTTTACTATCGTCACATCGAGAATCTGTTGCACGAGATTTGTAGGACAATCCACCACTTCAATTGTGTTGCTGATCCAGTTGCTTGTATACTGAAAGTTTGCCTTTTCAAGGACTTGTTTCACTGGATCTTGTCTTTCTTGTGCATGTTGCTTAAGAGCATTGACAATATTTTGTATGTTGTGAGCTCGCTCGTCATTTGTCCAAGGACCTGCGCTTGGGTTGGCAACAGCATCGATGACGGACTTGATATCATCATCCATGATAATGACAAATCGGTGCGGGTCATAATGGGGGCTCACAACTTTAACTAATGACGAAATGAGCTTTGGGGCAACATCGCTGATCGTACCCACCAAACCACCAATTAATCCAGTTTGAGTACCCGATACGACTAAAGTGAACATGACAGAGATCAAAGTGTAGGATTGAAAACTACGCCGCAACATGATGTGCGTTTTCGTGAATTAGACTTGACTTCAGTAAATTCTAAAGCTTGTTTGAATCTAGAATGGTGAATTGAGTTATGAAGATAAGGAAAGTTTTTAGAAGTAGTGAGGGAAGAAAGTCTCTCATTGCTATAATGATAGTCGTTTCAGCTTAGGTATCACATTCTTGCTTTTCCTTGTTGTTTATGGTGTAAAACGACGAATACTTTCTAAGAAGAATTTTATGTCGTTGTGTGGTAAAACTGAAAGAGCCTGTCGCCAGTTCTCATTCTTCTTTCAAATTCGAGCTGTAATTGATGATTGGGCTTAAACGTTGTGACGGTTTGGAACATTAAGAGCAAGTTTTCTGATAAACTTTCAAGTAATACTTTGTTACATTGTTGACAAATATCATTTAATGGCCATTACGAATAAGTTAAGGTCTGACAAAAGCTTGAGTTTTCTTTTTTTTGACCAAAGTAGCAAGAATTTTTTAAATTATTCTCAAATATTATGGGACGTTTTTTTATTTAAGGCAGTAATTGCAAAGCGACAACTCATCAGTTAAATGCTATAACTTTTCTTCTGACATGTACGACACATAATGAGTGACGGTATATAATTTATTACACTTTTATTCACGTTCGGACAGGCTAAGAGATCGTGGTTTGTTCAACTGAAAGTATCATGAATGTCTCCTTGCACACTGAACTGCTGAAAAAAAACGGTTTTAGCAGACAGCTAATCAGAAAAGCTGGAAGACGCGCAATGTGCTAAAAAACTTACTTTCTTGGACGGTCGCACCCTCAATTTTTTCGTGCTTCGTTCGTACATTCCATGTCGATATCCACCGAGACATTAAACCGATCAAGAACACAGCTACAATTCTAGCAGAGACAGAGTCCACTTAGCTTTCAATCCGTAGTCTTAGACTTGAGCTAATAACTAGGCGTCTTAGTCATTGATAATTGTACAAGACACATAACGTCAAAGCCTTTAACCACCAACGCAACGAACACTAAAAGTTATACGCTTGTTTGCCGTTACACCGCTTTTCCAAGCGCCAAAGTATTTGGCCACCACACAATGAGCCCAGAATTCTAATGCTAGTCTTGTTGCGCTCGACACTGGGCGGATTGAGTGTAATCTCATCGACCTTGAATTAAAAATGACATTTCGACGTTGGCTATGAGTTACGAGGCACCACGCATGGAATACGTGAGTCATCAAGACACGCATTTTCTTAAGCTGCGCTTGCAACACTCTCGAATCACGAAAAGTGGAACTCGATCGTTGATGGTTTTTCTTCGTAGTCTTGGCATATGCGCGATGCAGTTGCTGCCGAAAGTGATTCCACCGCCTTTTCTGACGACAGGCAACCACGAATGTCTTCCAGCGAGTCATAACGATTCGTTTCGCGTCGTTATTTAGCTTTTGTTCACTGTAAAGCAACCACCGTTCAAGACGCCACCGCGTAAGAGACCGATGCAATAAACTTCGGGTTGTATGTCTGGCTATCTCTCGATATATTTGTTGCTGAAGAGCATAGCGTTTAAGTCCAAGGGAAAATGCGGCATTCAATACTTTCAGCTGCCAAAAGCGCTGCCATCGACAGAAAATACGCCACACTTTCCATCGATGCCAGCAAAGGCGTCGCCATCGAAGCAACTCTCGTTGTAATTGTCGACGTGCCATGTTGCAACCAGTGAATAATTGTTTCCAAGCGGTAAAATGTCGCTCCACGATTTGTTGCTCTTGCATCCGATACAGACTAGCAGCAATAGCTTCTTGACCACGTCGAATCTTGACAACATGTTTCCAATGGTCAAAACCAAATTGCAAGCGAACGCATGTCATAGTGTAGTGCCACATAACCAACGCTAGTTGACGTCGTTTCGTGACGCGTATTATTGCACGCCACGAACGTGCTACTAACCTAGTCGAGTAAAATGCGGCAGCTTTCAATAACTTTTGCTTTTCAACACAATTTTCACGCCATTTACGGAATACATGGCCACCAACTACATTCCATTCAACACGTCTTCTTATTGACCGACTTGTAATCCTCTGATGCACAACTAAAGACCATTTCGACAAGACATGTTGCAGCAACACTTCTTCATACCAAGCTTCCGCCTCAAGGCGTTGCTTTTGATGCATGATAGAGCGACCAGCACTTGAAAACATTAAGTGAACAGCCTGTCGCATCGTACGCCGACAAAAGTATATTTCCGCCTCTCGTCGTCGCTTTTTCGTCGCAGAATGGTTCGTCCAGCCATCTAACGACTGCAAAAGACGCTGACGCCTGTTGTAAGCTACGGCCTTGCGTCTGTAGCCTACAGTTAGTGCAAAAAGAAGCTGAAAATACTGACTTTGTAGCTGTTGGCGATGAAACCCGTATGCAATCTTCTTTGCCTTTGATCGCTGCCGACGCTGCCTCCATTGGGTGAATACGCCCACGATCACGTGTTTATTAGCTAATACAGCCAATTTCGAAGCTCCTAGAAAGTATCTTCTAGTTTTGCACAGCCAAATCATCACAAATAAATCAGATATCAAACGCTTCTCATGTAATTTTCGAGCCTGAATAGCTTTTAAACGTAGTTCCTGACACAGTGAAACGAAGATTTTCCAATGCTGCCAACGCCATCGAAGTTGTAGTAAGTAGTGCAATTCCTTTAACAGGCTTTGTCGTTGCTGCATGTCAACCATCCTTTTCCACATATTAAACCACTTTCGACGAAGTTGTATTTGTCGATTATACACTACCTCCTTCCACTGAGCAACACTATACCGCATTTGTCTTTGTCGACTGTGTTCTCGTAAGAGGGAAATCCGTTTTCCAAGTTCTCGTCTGCTCGAAAACGCCCATTTTGCCCAATGTTGAACCAATTTGACTGATAGGTGTTTAACTGCCGTATCATTCATTGAGTTCTTCTTCAATGCATAATATATCGCAATTTTCCAGTTTTTGAATGCCTTGTCAAAAAGTTTACGCTTTCTAAAGCCAGCACATAAAGCCACTGTCATCTTCTCCTTACGGGAAATCTTGATATGATTCTGCCATGAGTCGATGGCAAACCGTATCCGACGCTCTTCACGTGTATTTAACAATGACGCAATCAAGACTCGCCTTTGTTTTAGTTCCATAACTAGAAGATTGAATGCCAACCAGCATTCTCGTTGTCTTTTGACTCGTTGTTTTGCTATTAAATTTCGCAGCACGACAGAGCAATGGTAATTATTGCGCCACATACGCCAAATTGTAGCCCGGAGCATCAAATGCTCATTTTTTTCTTTCAAAAATTTAACTCGAAGTCGTAAATTTCGGTCTCGATGGGATCGAAGATGCCACGTCCATAACGCTCGTCGAGTCATCCAGCTGTGAAGTTTGGTCTCCTTCTTGCGATCACAATATGTCTGCATCTTTAAAATTCTAAACGCTCTTCGACGATGCAGCGCGTATAAAACGACAGCAAGACGTTGCTTTTGGCTACGCGAGTTTTGTGTAAACAAATTCCAGATATGAAGCATGTAGCGCATTTTCAAGCGACGTTGGCGTCGAGTGGCACTTTGCAACATACAACGCATCTCTTTAATGTCGTAAATTAAGTTTTTCCAATTGTCGAAAGCATAGCATAGGCTTGTTCGTTCACTCCATCGAGCAGCAAATTGCCATCGTTTCTGCGTCTCAAGACATTCAATCCAACGTTGAAAATAAACCACTTTTTGTTTCACAATTTGCTGTTTTGTGAAACTATGAATTCCAAGCCGTACAAAGCGTGCCGTCGCAATCGCTGCCCTAAAATATTTCCAATATCGGCCAACAAGAAGCCGAATAGATTTTTCGTTGTAAATTCTAAGTTTCGTACATCTAGTCGTCATTTTTGTCCACGAATGAAACACTTCATAGCATACCTTCGCTTGTCTTTTCCGATAAAAATTCTTTCTTTTTATCGCTTGACGTAGTGCTAAATTCCACCTGACCCACATTACTTGCAGCTTCGATACAAATGTTTTCTTTTTTAAAGCATTCGTTGCTGTTTTAGAAATCAAATCATGAATAACTTGCTGTCGCCAAGCAATTAAAATCATGTTCAACACACGTTGATCTTGCCATCGTCGTGCGCGATTAACTCGTTCTTCAATACCAATCTCTTCGTTCACAATACGACGCCATTCGTCCATAACACGATGCAAAACCAAATTAGTTTCTTTATCTCTAAATTCTAACCGCGTTGGATCTTTAATGTGGCTTCTATAAGATCGTAAAGCTTGTGAGATACGTCCAGCACTTGTTTTTTCCAGTATTGAATCATCTACAGATGCCAAAAGTGATGTCACTTTAGCCCATTTTGATGTTAAAGGTGTTGAATCGGGTTGTATCACTTCTCTTTTGATCTTGAATTTTTGCTGGGCATCAAACACAGCATCAATTTCCTCTCGTAGTTGCCTTAATACCTCACACTGCATCGAGACGCTTCAACTTTATTTTTTTTGTATGATTGGATAAATTAGCATATATTTCATACATGTTCATTGGTAGAAAAGCGTAAATAATTATATACATCATATTAATCAAAGCTTCATATACATGGCAACGTCGCAACTCTCACAGATTGGCAGCAGTGCGTCTGGAGGCGTTGGCATGTCCAATTACGCTGAAGAGAAAGGTTTTACTACTAGACGTTTTGTTAATTTTTCTAGCTAAAGTATACTAACGATGCTTTGACAGCAAAATGCAGTGACTTTTTGCTAAATTTTACCTCAAATTTGGACGACCCGGCGTTGGGTCCCAAATATGCACGAATGATGGTACAATACTTTTATTGGAATGATATTTCACATGTATATACTGAATTATTTGTGGTCATATCGTAGCAAGAGGTGGCAAATCGAGAGCGAACATCCATTCCCATTGCTTTGGATGACGTGGAAATTGTACTATTATGAATCTTTTTGAGCACTTTGTGTAATTTAATTCATCTACATTGTGTTGATAGTATGAAAAAGATGACCCAAGTTTTGTGTCTCGAATCGTACGCAATGCTCGTCGGTACATTGCACTCTTTTCTGATGCAATCGATGAAAATCTGCCACCTCCTACAAAAGATATTTCCGATACTCAAGATGTTTTAGATGTTTTGCGACTGTCTCGAGCTCAAGAATTAGTTCAACAGAGTCAACAAGATGATGGGGAAAGTCTAAACCCAGCGTCGGTCTCTTCTGCAGCGACATTTCCACCAACTTTAATGCGTCGTTTTGAAGTTCATTTGATTCCTGGCGTAAAACTTAAAGCTGTACCGATTCGAGCGGTAAAAGCTTCTAAAGTTGGTACTTTGGTACGTATCAAAGGCATGGTCACGAGAGTTTCAACGGTAAAACCACTTCTTACGGTTGCCACATACACATGCGAAGCATGTGCTTCGGAAGTATATCAAGAAGTCAAAGCAAGGCAGTTTAATCCTCTGACGCAGTGTCCAAGTGCACGTTGTGCTACAAATAGAGCACAAGGTCATTTGATGCTGCAAACTAAAGCTTCCAAGTTTGACAAATACCAGGAAGTTAAGTTTCAAGAGTTGCCCGATCAGGTGCCAATGGGTCACATACCCCGCTCCTTAACAGTTTATTTGCGAGGCGAACTTACACGCACATGCGAACCTGGAGCCTTAGTGACTATTTGTGGCGTCTTCTTGCCACTTCCGTACTCACCACAACGTCAGATGCAGATGGGACTTGTCACGGAGACGTACTTAGAGGCAACGGACGTAGTGAATCATAAAAAACGGTACTCAGCCATGGAGTCGTCGGATGCTATGGAAAGTGCCGTGTTGCGCTTGCAGGAAGGCTCGGATAATGTGTATGAAGTATTATCTCAGTCGTTGGCACCAGAAATCTATGGGCACGAAGATGTAAAGAAAGCGTTGTTGTTACTCTTGATTGGTGGCGTCACAAAAAGAATGGATGAAGGAATGAAACTGCGTGGTGATTTAAATGTATTGCTCATGGGTGATCCGGGTGTAGCGAAGTCACAATTGTTAAAACACATTGCCACTGTGGCACCACGAGGAGTTTATACTACAGGAAAAGGCAGTTCTGGCGTTGGACTGACAGCGGCAGTTGTGCGTGATGTAATTACGAAAGAGATGACGCTGGAAGGCGGAGCTCTTGTTTTAGCTGATATGGGCATTTGTTGCATTGATGAATTTGATAAAATGGAAGAAGGCGATCGAACAGCGATTCACGAAGTGATGGAACAACAGACGGTAAGCATTGCAAAGGCTGGAATCACCACAACGCTCAATGCGAGAACTTCAGTACTGGCTGCAGCGAACCCGATTTTTGGTCGCTACAACAAAAAATTAAGTGCTTCGCAGAATATCAATCTACCTAATGCGCTGCTTTCTCGCTTTGACTTGCTATTTCTACTACTGGATGTCGCTAATTATGAAAAGGATGAAGCACTGGCACGTCATGTCACGTATGTTCATCGCTTTTCACGCAACCCCGAGATGAAGTTTGATCCGGTACGTCCTGAAGTGTTGCGATACTTCATTGCGATCGCTAAACAGTATCAACCGAGTATTCCGGAACATCTTTGCGGCTACATTGTCGAAGCTTATGTGACACTTCGTCAGCAAGATGTCAATGATCATGCTCGTGAACGAGAGCAAAACAAGTTTCGACAGAGTGGAGATGGTGGTGCACATGATGCCCAGACAGCCATGACAGCGCGTCAATTGCTAAGTATCTTGCGTCTATCACAAGCTTTAGCAAGACTGCGATTTTCAACGGAGGTCATTCATCAAGATGTGGATGAAGCCATACGGTTGGTGTACGTATCGAAAGCGTCGTTGACGGAGCAAAATGATGCAAGTGGTACTGGAAGTAATAAGCTTGGTGTAGCAAATTACGGTCGAAGCGGAGGCTCAGCTGATGCAACGTCGAAAATTTTCCGACTCGTGTTGGAATTTGCTACAGATCGCAACTTGAAAGTTCTGGCTTTGAGCGACTTGGAGCCAGTTGTACTGCGCAAAGGCTTTACGTCTCAACAATTGAATGCTTGCATCGCGTATTATCAAGAGTTAGAAGTCATGCAGCTGTCAAGCAACGGGACTCGTCTTACTCTAATCTAGTCGAATTTACGTTGATTCATCATACTGTCTCGCGCTTATGGTGGAGGACGCTAGAAATCCGCGATTACGACAAGGTAAATAGAATGGCTTTTGTGATGTACTTGTGAAAAAAACATGAAGTCTTAGATTACTTCTTTTATTTGTAAACGCATTTTTTGTCTATGGTTTTCACAGATAATCGAGGCAACATTTCAGCAACGTGAACTAAAAAAAATTGTAATCGTGAGTCAACTTCTTGTCAGTTCCCTTCAAACATCTTGATATTGATTTTCTTTGACATTTACTGCTGGTTTGGTGTTAATCCTTTTTAAATGTGCACTGTTTGGCTGCACTAAAGCCTGGAAGAGTCAAGTGTTTAGACATCTAATTACCTTTATGTCTTTGACACATATTACAAAGCTGTCATCAAGCCTAGAGACGAGCACACGAGTGTTAACCATTGATAGAAGAAGTTTGATGGTAAAGGAGTTTTTCTACACCTGCTCGACTTTTCGTCAAGGAACTTTTCCGTGTCATTGTTGAGACGCCGTTTGAATGAATGCAATCGCATCTAGATGATTGCAAATGTACTCAGAGGATTGTGTGAAGTGTATCAATTTTTTTGCTTTCAGGTGCCTCAAGAAGAGGGTGGAGGCTGACTATGGAACCGACATCCAGTGGTGATTTACACATAATCCAAACTTAATATATGAGTGAGCCAAAGCTTCGTAATTGTAAGCTTTTCGTCGAAAGCATAATACTTGTGCAAGTAATTGGCCAGGCAAAAGTTTTAAAAATTATTTTAATACAGTATTCAGCCACAATTTGTCCGAATATAGTTCAAATAAAAACGATGTTCGCGCCATAACCGAAAACCAACATATCGACATCCAATTTTCGTCAACAGGACAGTAAAAGAAAATTTTGCCGTAAGAGATCCACTAAGAAGCCTAAACGCTGCGGCACTGGTCGATTGGATTAAACTAATTCATATGATTGTCCTTGGGACAGGCATGACCAGGTACTTTGGGGTTACAAATTGCTCGCATAAACAATCAGAAGTACATTTACCGGGTCGCGGTTGAGGATTTACTGTTTCACAATAATAGAGCAGAATTTGGAGTTGCGCTGAAAATGCAGTATTTACCGTTCACCGTTTACTGTTTGACGTATAGATACGCTAAGAGATTTTAATTCTTTCTCACTGGATCTACGATGCGTTCTGCATAGAAGACAGCTTTGATAAAGGCGCTAGGAGGCTATTTTCTGCTTGGTTTGGCCAATTGGTGGATCACGCAGAATATATTAATTGGAACGGAGTAACTACTGACATCTAGGCTTCTTAAACTTACACATTTGGTGCAATAGTATCTAGAACATACTGTACAATTAAACAGAGATTCAATTGCATTTCAGAGCAGTGTCACTTTCATACGGACCAAGTATTGGGATTCATGACGATGTAAAAACTACGAAAAGGAGATTTCGAAAGTACACTTGGGCTGAAAGCTGCGCGTCAGACAGTGAAGACAGTTCTGTTAGAAGAACTATTCAAATTTAAAATCTTCTAAATAGCACTACTTTTACATTTTTGTACTTGTAAAATAGCAGGGCTATCTAGACATCTATTTACGATATAGGCTTTTGGTTTCGCTAGCGGCAGAAAAGTATAAATCCATCCTCTGTGCGCTTGTAAGCGCATACTCTTAACGTCAAAGATTCCTCTGTGCAAGGTGCACACCATCGTTGCACTTGGTAACATGCGTTTAATCCCACCAGCGAGTTAAGAGAGGGGCTGTATTCCAAACAAAGATGACATACTCAATTTACGATTGATAGTCACCGAAAACTTCAACCCGCTTACAAGACTGATGTCTATTGTTGATCCCGACAGGATAAGAGAACCGGGTGGTCGAGGGTCCGAAAGCGCAAATTGATCAGTCGGGAACGCTCACCAGCATCGAGCATGCGTTATCCGTGAGTTTCCAACCGTGCGCCGGCGAAAGAACCAACGGCAACCACCGTAAGGCCTCTAATGTCAAGCATCTTAGTGGTCGGGACCGACAAACCTTTCAATCTGGATAAAAGAAGTTGCGGTGTCCATGGATCCAGTCATGCTCCAAATGTAGCATCAGCGCGTCCCGCATGTGGTCTCCATTATAAGAGGCCGCGCATGAGATTGAACACTAACGTGCAGCTTTTTGGTAAAACAGATGAATAAGGTAGGAAATTAGAAATGTCGCCGTTATTGACACCGCCATCAGGCATATCGGGTGTGTTCAAATTAAGGGATACAGGAACTAGCGATCTACGTGTATGAAGTACGAATATAAATCGGAAATGGTGTCCAAACCTCTCATAGAAGCTTTTCTAGAGCCTAGACGCTTGGATTGGCAACTTGTGCGCCAACTCTTTGGGATCCTTAATTTCGTCGTTGCGCTCTAAAAATTCCAAAGTCGTCATGATGCGATTGTAGCCACGAGCATCAAGGTACAAGTCGAACTAAACGGATTGCTTTGTGATGTTGATTCGTCGTGCTTTTGGAAGCTCTAGAGTCTCGCGAATGCTACATTTTCTACAAAATTATGTGGCTGATGCGGCTTGCACAGATACTCCTCGAGTCCACCTTAATTGTTTTGTGATAGCAATGGGTGTTGCATCCAATGCGTATTTCAACACTTTGTCTTGAGGTACAGATAGCGCACAGGAAGAACTCTTCACAGTCGTGATGATTTCCATCCATTCTGGGCATTGCAAAACCGCGGTGATCGCGGAGGCTCACCTTTCGCCTTGTGTGCTCCTTTCGATCTCAATTATATATACATAAGTGGGCACGCACGCAAGGTTGTCTATCGAACCCATTAGGAAAAAAGCCGAGTTTCGGATGACCACCTGAAAAATTGGTTTTTACTGTACCTTTTGATCAAGGGGGCTCAGCCTTAAACGGAGCGATTGTGTGGATCACAATATAGGGTTGTTGATCTTCGATACGATTGCTCTATGCAAATCTGACAAAGGGTTTATCAAGGATCATCGTGCAATTACGTACGATGCGCGGCTGAAACCGTTACGGTCAATCCACGTCGTCTGTGACCCTTCGGTGCATTCAACAGTTTGTGAACTACTCCAAGCAGATGCCAATAGGCATGAACGCGTAATCGCGATTGGATTTAAATGATTTAGGCTCATAAAAATAGTGACCATAAGATGGATCTATACAACGAAGATTTCTTTCGTCAAATCAAGGTGCAGCTGTGAAGTCGTTTGAGATCAACACAGATCATGAGTTGTTGCGTACAGAAACATAATCACCACATCTTTTAAAGAAAATGGCGAGATGATTATCAATCTTTGCTAAGCATAATATTGATGTAACGTGTAAGCCGGGCTGACTTGATATAGTGGTCGGTTTGCTCGCTACTACTATGATTTGTTGGATGTCATGATGGCGTCGTCGCCACTTGTTGCGCGAAGAAAGCTTTAAGAAGCAGAAAATTTGAGATATTAGATTTAGATGTCGCTTCATCGAAGCGCGCGATTGCACTCTATAGTGCTATTGCTTATCACATGGCTTACTCGATCACAGCACTGACCCACGTGAGACTTAGCGTGTTGTGGTGCCTCATGATGAAGTTCTAAATATTGTACCAAGGCTTTGATACATTAATAAATGGCCGCCTTGGATGAAAATTACATACTGATCGGTGAACGCTATATGTTGATGGCCTAACATCTATGAAGAAGTAGTCACTCAATATTGGAACATGTAAAAGGTAGGAGTTGTTCAATACTTTGCGACATGCGGTGTGATTTCGGCAAAGTTCTGGTGGCTCATACGAATGGACTTAATTTTTTTCCTCACAAAATACGCGCCCAATAATACCGGTATTGTGGTTAGAATGGCCCTGCTGCTAAAGCGATAGTTTAGCAGGTGATGATGATATAGCAGTGCTATTGCAAACAGCCAAATCATTGGGATTGCGTTGTATATCGGTATATGTATCTGCAGATCTGACAGCAATTTACATAGGCGGTTTGGTAAGCCTATGAATGCCTCATGAACCCAAACATAGATATCTTCCGGTCTTAGTGATGAAGGCTCTGGTCATCGAAATTTGTTTACTTAATCAGTCTGGCTACAATATGTAGCAAGGAGTATTTGGTTTTGCTCAATGAGATTGAGCACAGTGTTTCTATCGCTAGGTCTTCTCACTCACTGAATTTACGTTTGATAGTGCAGAACAGGTCTTAAGAGACGTCATTTTACTATTTATATTCTTTTTTAGCTAGCTCTTGGGTACCGTTCATACCGCTATAACGTGGCTTCGCCTGGCTTTCAGCCATTGCGTTGCACACTCAGCAAAAAATTCTCAATTTCATTGAGGTTTGATTTCAAATTTTGATACGACGTGTAATTTAGCTGATATCAACAAATTTAATTGTATTAAGGTTTTTTGCCGAGGCTTGATGAGAAAGAAATTGTTGATTCGATTCGATTGCAAATATTGGCATGGTTACCCTTAGTAGCAGACACTTCACTTTTTGTATAAAATTGAGCTTCATGCACCGAGTACTTAACGCTTTGGCTGAGAGCTTGGGTGTTAAAATGCAGCATACCTATTAAAGAGACAGACAAGCCAGCCATGTGACTGAATTGGGGCAAATGATCTTTTTGAGCGCGTCTAACCTACTAAAATATGCAGTTTCTGTGGTCCATGCGACTAAGTAGCAACCATGCTACATGAGGGCATATATCGGGGTGACATCCAGTCTGAAATGTTTTGTGGTGCTGACATTTCAAAGTGCAAAGGGTGGACTTTAGACGGAGTGGCTGCTTAAAAAGTGGCTATCTTTCCGCAGTGCAAAAAAAGAGTAAATCTTAATGTGGCCTGCATCTCAGAGGGGGTGGTACATGATAAGAATAGAAATTTGACTCACTCACACCTTACACATTCGGTGCAATGGCTGAGAGATCTGTACAGTTAAAGGAATTTTCAACTCTAATTAGCGAAATGTGAATAACTATAAGTACCGAAGTAGCATTATCTAGGTGTGACGTGGTCGCCAACTGCTTGCCATAAAGCAGAAGACGATCACGCCAAATTTT